TTTGTTCAATTGCAATTTTTTTTTATTTGAAAGAAAGTGTTTTCCTTAGAGTCCTATTTGATCTATGTTATAATTATGTTACTTTTTTTTTGAAACTAAAATAGTGTTCCATTTTTAACTTAAAAATATTTTCACTGAATCACCTCAGATATTTTGTGAAACAGAGTCCAAAGTATAAATGAGTAAATTATTGTATACCGAACTCAGTCTCTATATGTATCAGACTTTTATTGGGTTTTGAAAATTTTTATTAAGTTAATAATCATTTTTCAGCTTCTGGGACTTTCATATTAACTGCAAATTAAATGGACAGGTCCAGCTATGATTAAAAATTTAGTGGTGAAATCAGCATTTATGTAAAGTAAATCTGTAGGTTACAGCTTAGACACATTCATTTTGTTTATTTTAGTTGGAGAGTTTATTACTAAAACAGGCTCTCTGGATTTCTTCTATTGGCCTCACTTCTCTTTTACTAAATATAAAGTAAAAATGTGATTTCTTCAGTTTGGAAGATTTCAAGATTTTATGGAATACTTCCTACATAGCTGTTGAGGCTTATTGTATACATCCAATTGGGCACCTGCTTAGATTTATTGTCATCAGCCCAGAAGGACACCTGTGTCCTATTAAAAATAAGCATGGGCATTATCTGCTATTCTTTTGAATTGCTCATTAGTTGGGAGGATACTCTTAGTAGTTGTGGTATTGAGGATACATTGAGTGCTAAAAGTGAGAATAAAGTTATATTTTGGATTAGTTTTTGAGGTCCTTTTTTAAAAAAATATTTTACTGTCATCCATTTCTTTCATGTAAATTTTATAAGCCTACATATTAGTTTTCTGTTGCTGCCATAAACAATTACCACAAACTTTGTGGCTTAAAACAACACAAGTTTATTATCTTATAGTTTTGTTGATCAGAAGTCTGACATGGATTTCACTGGGCTAAAATCAAGATGTCAGAAGGGCTTCATTTTGTTCTAGAGGCTCCAGGGAGAATCTGTTTTCTTGCCTCAGCTTTGAGAGGCCACCTACATTCCTTGGTTTGTAGCCCCCACTTCTTCCCCATTCCTCCATCTTCAAAGCCAAGAGCAGCAAATTAAGTTCTTTTTATGTTAGAGTTTCTGCTGTCTTTTTCAATCTCTGTCAGATGCAGTTGGGAAAGGGGAAGGTTTCTCTGCTTTCAAGGATTTTTGTTTCATTAGATTGGGCCCACCTGGGTATTTCAGGATACTCTCCCCATCTTGAGGTCTCTTTAACCTTAATCACATCTGCAAAGTCTTTTCGAGATGTAGATAGGACATCTTTGGGAAGCATTATTCTGCCTACCATAGAACCCCTACATCTTTATAGAATATTATTTTGCTAGTTTAAAACTTTTATGGTTAAAGATGGTAGATGTGATTTGAATAAATGCCGAGAAAATCTATCACCTCTAATTCTGTCTTCTTAGCTTCAAACTCAACTGCAATCACTTGTTGAACATATTGTCTTCGATATTTTACAAGTAGCTTGTTAGCTTTTGCTATATAACAAACCATCCCACAATTATTTATCATCACCCACACATCTTCGGGTCGACTGATCTAAGATAGGTTTGGATGGGTGTCTCTGATGACCTTGGCTGGGCATGCTTCCAATCTGATTAGGCAGGTCAGGTGAGAATTGTCTGATATAGCCCGGGGCTCTGTGGGGGCAGCTCTGTTTCACATTTCTCATCCTTCCATCTTTGGGCTAGCTCAGGCATGTTCTTATGAAAATGGCAGAAATACAAATGTACAAGTGGAAACAGATGAAGCTTCTTATGGCCTAAGCTTAGAGCAGAGAAACTCACTTTTGCTTTATTCTATTGGCCAAACTAGTCGCGTGGCCAAATCAGGGTGTTGGGAAGTATACTTCACTTCTTTAAATGGAAGGCACTGCAAAGTCATTTAGCAAAGGGATTTGAATGGAGAAGGGGGTGTAAAAATATAATATAAATGGAGCTACTTTAAAATGGAGTTGGAGCTGCCATCCCAGAGGAACTGCCTTGCAGGTCTTACTCCTCAAACCTTTGGAATGTTAAAGCTGAGCAAAATAACCTTTGGTGGGCCTAAAGCAACCTTGTATCCCAAACAACTTTGCAAAGTTAACAAGAAAGCAGACTGTGACTGAAAATTAAAAACATTCTTTAGCACTAGCTTCACTATATTAGCTTATCTGAACCTGCAGAAATGCCTTCCTTCCTATGCAGAGCAGGGCAAATTTCCCTGAGTTGGGGGAAGCTCAAGCTCTACATTGAGAGAGAGGATTCTTGGCTGAGCGCAAGAAAGAATTCAAATGCATGCCAGAGTTAGAGACAAAAGGAAAATGTATTAGAGACGGGGGTAACACTCCTCAATAGACAGTGGTCTCCTCTCAGAGGTAGAGAGTAAGAGAGCCTGAGACTCAGAGGGACAGAGAGAGACAGACAGTGAGAAGAACAGAGAAAAAAACACCGAGAGGGACTCCAAGTAGAGAGTAAGAGAGCCTGAGACTCAGAGGGACAGAGAGAGACAGACAGTGAGAAGAACAGAGAAAAAAACACCGAGAGGGACCCCAAGTGTTCGAGGAATTGAGTTTATATATCATTTTAGTTTCTGTTAATTACAATTTAAAGACTTTGTTTACCCATTTTCCTTTGATATGGTCATACAGTGAGAAAGGATGAGTATATAGCAAGAAAAGGTAAGAATATGTAGCATGAAAGGCCAGCTGGCAGTTCCCAGCCTTTGATCCATAGGTTCCCCATGGTTTTAGCCAGAGGGAATGAATGATTTTATTTTGTGTAGGGCATGACTTAAAGACTCTGTTTTCCTGTTTTCTCTCCCAGTGTGGGTAAATGGTAGCAATCTCAGCGGAAATCTTCCTTTGTTCTGCAGGTTTCCTCATGTTCTGGCCACAGGGCTGATCAGCATATTGCAGTCTCTGAATATAGCTTGATTTAACACTTTAGTTCTTTTGCCTCCTCCCTAGTTACTTCTATTGATATTGTTGATGATTTAATTGATGTAATTGTTCCCCTTCCCTTTCTCATGAATACCCTTTGCTTTTACCTCCTAATTGGAACACTATTTGGGTTTCTTCATGGGTCAGTATTTCCAGGATACCTGTTTGGATCCCAAATAAATGCTTGTTGCTTCTCACATTGGTCTTTTATTTTTAGGTTAACAGAGGATAAAGAATTGGGGCCAATGATGCAATTAACCCCACACTCAAACTCTGTATTGCCCCAAACTGAACTCATCTCTGGCTATATCTCTCTTTCGCTTTCTTTATTTCTGGTCCTAGTTAATGTTACTACTTTATGCTGAGTGGCCCAAGCCAGAAACCTAAGAAGTATTCTAGAGTCTTCTCTGTCCCTTTTACCTATATTTAATATTTACCTTGTAAACATCTTTCTAAGCTCTCATTTTCTCCAGCCTATTGCAATCACTGTTCTGGTTCAGGCTTTCATATCTCTTTGAGAAGAAAGAGAGAGAATAGACTCTTAATTGTCTCTAATCTAGTTTCCTTCAAATCCATCCCTTATATTGCAGCTTGAAATACAGATGCCACTCCTGTTCATTGGCTTCTCATTGTCTCTAGAGGATGCCCTCTGTGATCTGGATTCATCAGCCTCATCTGCTGTTTCCTGTCTATTGCTTTACTCTTTAGTTTAAGAGTCAGCAAAATATGGCCAGTGGTTCATGAGCTAAAAATGATTTTTACATCCTTAAATGACTGGGAAAAAAATAAAGAACAGTGTTTTGTAACACATGAAAATTGTAAAATTTAAACCAGTGTTCATAAATAAAGTTTTATTGGAACACAGCTACACTCATTTTTTTAATATTGTCTATGGCTGCTTTTACATTACAGCAGCAGAGTTGAGTCATTGAGATGAGAGATCATAAAATATTTGCCATCTGATCCTTTACAGAAAAAGTTTGCCAACCCCTGCTCTAGTCAGTTAGAACTTATAATATGCTCCCTTTGTGTGCCATTCTATTTCGTGCTTCAGTACTTTTATTACGTTGTTTCTTTGCCTGGCTAATGCTGTTTTTTTTTTTTTTTAAATAATAGCCTATTGAGATGTAATTTACATATATAATTCACCCATTTAAAGTATACAGTTCAGTGGTTTTTAGTATATTCACAGAATTGTGCAAATATCACCAAGTCAGTTTTGAACATTTTTATTATCTACCCCCAAAAAACCCATACCCATTGGCAGTCACTCCTCATTTCTCTAATCTCCTCCCCCTAGTCCTAGATAACCACTAAATCTACTTTCATCTTTGTTGATTTTCCCATTCTTGATATTTTGTATACATGGAATCATACAATATGTGGTGTTTTATGACTTTTTTTAACTTAGCTTAATGTTTTTAAGGTTTATACATACTGTAGCAGTTATCAGCGCTTCATTCCTTTTCATTGCTGATTAATATGCCATTTTTTGGATAGACCATATTTTATGTATTCATTCATCAGTTGATGGACATCTGGGTTCTTTTTACTTTTTGACTATGACCAGTAATGCTATTATGAACATTCGTGTACAAGTTTTTGTGTAGTCATGTGTTTTCGTTTCTCTTGGGTAATATACCTGGACTAATTCTTCTTTATTGTTTAAGAATTGCCTTTGAGTAATCTCTTCCAGTACCTCTTCTTAGCCTCCGATGCTGGGTCAAATGTTCATTCTCCACCTCCCCAATAACACTCTTACAGTACTTAACAAATTATATTGAAATGACCTGTTTGCATGTCCGTTCCTGTCCTCCTCTTAAATTTCTGGACAGCAGAACTTTGCATCAACTGCAAATAGTATAAAAGTTCACTTAATATTTGTTGAACTAGAAAAACTATAAAGCATTCCATGCTTTTGAATTAAAATAAACTATCTTTTGTTATTTTTTCTGTCTTCTGTACATTGGCTTTTCAAAAGTCTTTTGGATTATATATTGAGATAACTGATTTTGAATTTATTTTTTTTTCAAGGCCTGCAAAGAAAACAAAAAAAGGTGCCAAAGAAAAAGCATTGGATGACAAAAAAGATGAGATAGAAAAAATAAAGTCATATCCCTTTATGGAAGGTGAACCTGAGGATGATGTTTACTTAAAACGCCTATATCCAAGGCAGATATACGAGATGGAGAAAGCTATTCACTTACTTAAGAAATTTCAAATTCTGGACTTTACAAATCCAAAGCAAGGTGTTTATCTTGATTTGACATTGGATATAGCACTGGGAAAGAAGGTATGTAGATTTGATTAAAATAAATTTATTTGTGAACACTGGCTGTTTGAATTGCTATTTGTTAATTTTTTTAAATTCTTGCCTCCTATTTGGAAAATCTGGTGCTCTTTCTGGACTTTAGCATGAAAATGTTTGTTTTTTAAATTTTCCAAATATAAAATATAATGTTAAGCATACTCTGCATAGTTGATGAACATGTATCTCCTATTCACCAGAAAATCACTGTTATACATTTTCTTTCTTTTTTTTTAAATAATTATAAATTTTTTCAATTGTAGTTGGCATACACTATCATATTAGTGTCCAATGTCTGGACTTTAGCATGAAAATGTTTGTTTTTTAAATTTTCCAAATATAAAATATAATGTTAAGCATACTCTGCATAGTTGATGAACATGTATCTCCTATTCACCAGAAAATCACTGTTATACATTTTCTTTCTTTTTTTTTAAATAATTATAAATTTTTTCAATTATAGTTGGCATACACTATTATATTAGTGTCCAATATGGTGATTTATACAACATTTATATAAATTTTGAAGTGATTACCCTGGTAAATCTAGTACCCATATGACACCATACATAGTTATTAAAATATCATTGACTATATTCCTTATGCTTACTTTACATCCTCATGACTATTTTGTAACAGCCAATTTCTACTTATTAATGCCTTCTCTTTTTTCATTCACACCCAACCCCCATCCCATCTGGCATAAAAATGTTTTCTGTATCTATGAATTTATTTGTTTTATTTGTTTATTTTCTTTAGATTCCACATGTAAGTGAAATCATATGGCATTTGTCTTTCTTTGACTTATCCATTCAGCATAATACCATCTAGGTCCATCTATGTTGTTGCAGATAGCAAGATTTCATTCTTTTTTTTTGTGACTGAGTCATATTCCTTTGTGAATATATACCATCTGTTCTTTATCTATTCATCCATTGCTGGACAGCCAGGTTGCCCCCATATCTTGGCTATTGTAAATAATGCTGCAATGTACATAAATTGGATTCACATGTCTTTGCAAAGTAGTACTTTGGGTTTGTTCTGATAAATACCCAGAAGTGGGAATACTGGGTTCTTCTTTGTCTCTTGTTATAACCTTTGTTTTAAAGTCTATTATGTCTGGTATAAGTATTGCTACCCCAGCTTTTTTGTTGTTGTTTATTTCCATTTTCATGAAATACCTTTTTCTGTCCCTTTACTTTCAGTCTATGTATGTCTTTTGATTTGAAGTGAGTCTATTGTAGGCAGCATATATAAGGGTCTTGTTTTCTTATTCATTCTCCACCCTATCTTTTGATTGAAGCATTTAATCCATTTACATTTAAAGTAATTGATGTTAGATATGTAGTTATTGCCATTTTATTATTTATATTTTTGATCTGTTTTCTTCTTTTGAAATAAGTCTCTATAACTTTTCCTGTAATACTGGTTGGTGGCGATGAACTCCTTTTGCTTTTTCTTGTCTGAGAAGCTCTTTATCTCTTCTTCGATTCTAAATAATGGCCTTGCTGTGTAGAGTAGTCTTGGTCGTAGGCTATTGCTTTTCATCACTTTGAATATTTCCTGCCAGTCCCTCTGGTCTGCAAGGTTTCTGTTGAGAAATCAGCTGATAGTCTTATGGGAGCTCCCTTGGAGGTAACTAATTGCTTTTCTCATGCTGCTTTTAAGATTTCTCTTTGTCTTTAACCTTTGACATTTTAATGATGATGTGTCTTGGTGCTGCGCTCTTTGGTTCATCTTATTTGGGACTCCCTGTGCTTCCTGGGCTTGTATGTCTATTTCCATTGCCAAATTAGGGAAGTTTTCAGTCATTATTTCTTCAAACAGGTTTTCAATTCCTTTCTTAGTAAGTGGGCTTATGTAGTAGTTTCTTTGGGGCCCAGTGGCGCAGTCTTTCCTGGTCACCTGGGCTGTGTTCCTCAGGTGCATCTCTTGTTTGGGTTGTGTGTGCCCTCTTGTTGTAGTTGAGCTTTGGTTGCTGTTTGCATATCAGTGGATATTGATCGTTGGGCTGATTGGCTGTGAGAACTGGCCAGTGAGGGGCTGACCCTATGGAACCGGATTCACTTTAGCAGGGCTCTGGTGCCTGCCCACTCTGCCCTTTGGGTTTGTCGTCCTCGGATGCAGTCCTCGTTGGTGCTCCAGTTCAGTCTAAAGGCAGCTAGTAGGTGTGTTGGCCTGAGACCTCCTGGGACAGGCTCCAGCTATACAGCCTGTTCCCTGCCTGGGGCCACCTGGCAAGAGTCCTCAAGCAATCTGCAGATGGCTGCCATCTGTGCTAGGCTTGGAGGTGCTTTGAGAGGCTGATCCCTGAACCGAGGAAGGTTGTTGCTAGTGCTGGCTTGGGGCCACTCAGCCAGAGGTATGAGAAAGGCAATGGGTACACTGAGGCCAGATACTGCTAGTATCTGGCAGTATTTAGGTTTTGTGAACCTTTGAAAAGTTTTAGGAAAATTCACAGCATGAGCCAAGACGGGCCATGCGTATAAAAAAAGCCACCGGCAGTGGCTTGGATGGGCTGCAAGTTGGGTGGGTTGGGGTGAGGTCTCAGAAAATCACCAGGGCCATGCAACTGGACTTAGACAGGTTGATGGAGACTCAGGTATGGTGGCTGCCTGAGTCTTCACTCTGGGAGCTGCAAGGGCTCAACCAAGAAACAATGGATTCTGCCAGTACTTTTGTCTGAGAGAAAGCTGCCCCTCCAGCCCTTGCCCTGAAGCCAGACATTTCGGTTCCTCCCTGGGTGTCCCTGGCATCTTTCAAGCTGCTGTCCCAGCACTAGAGCTCAGAGCACAGGAGTCCACCAGCAAGTAAGTCCATGCATGGGCCCTTTATGAGGAACTCCTGGGACTCCAGCCGACCTCCCTCTGACTTAGCCACACTCTCCACTGGTTTTCACAGTCAGAAATTGTGGGGATTTCTCTTCCTGGAACTGGAACCTCGGGCTGGGGAGGAGCCTGGTGTTGGGGTGGGGCCCCTTGCTTCTCTAGGGCGATCTCTGAAATTGAGATATTTCTCCCAATTTTTGACCACCACACGTGGTGTGCGACCAGCCCAGTTTCGCATCTCTGCCCCTCCTAGTGGTCTTGAGGTGGCCTCTTGGGTTGTGCCCAGTTGTAGGACTTCTGTTTAGCTGGACTTCAGGCAACTCTCAATCAATTTTCAATGAAGTAGTATTAAAGTTAATTGAGACATTACTGTAACTTTGAAAAATTTTTTAAGCTGTCTGGGTGTTATGTTTTTTTCTCTGTAAGTGAGAATTTTGGATTAGCTCAGTGGCCTTCAAATGTTTCCTTAAAGTCCTGGCTTGAGACTAAGTTTGCATGGGTTGGGGCTAAACCCCTCTCTTCAACCGGAACCTCTCTGCTTTATCTGTTTATATACTGCAATTCCATGGAAGATGTTTGTTTATACAGTTCTAAAAGTAGGAACAACATTAGATTAGAATCGAGGTCAATATAGCTCTAAATTTTATAAGCTTCTCACTTAAACAATCTCATTTTCTTGGAAATATTTTAATTTTATTCTGAGGATGTCTTTTTGGTTAAAACAGAAGGCAAAGTTTTTTAATACAATTGAATGACCTCAACAATAACAATAAAATTGAGCATGTAGGAGGAGGGTAGTATAGCAGTGCTAAAGAGCATGGACCCTAGAGTCAGATTACAGTACAGGCCAGAATCCTGATGTCACCACTAATTTGCTTTACGACTTTGGACTTCTAGTTTAACCTCTTCAGATCTATTGTTTTCATCTCTTTATAAGGGAGATAAAATGTTTAGTTCATATGGTTATAGCAAAGATTAAATGAGATAATACATGTAAAGGACTTGGTAGATGTTTAATAATAATAAACATCTACTGGAAACTTTTTCATGTACCAGCCAAAATGCTAAATGCTTTGCATGCATTTTCTTATTTAATCCTATAATAATGTCAGAAGAAGAACCTAAGACACCAAAAATGAAGTATCTTGCTCAAGTTCAGAGTAGAAATAGAGTTAGGATTTGAACCAAGATCTGTCTCATTTCTTAGTTCTGTTGTAATTTTATTTTATATCAGTGTTACTATAAGTTCATTTATTTAAAAAATGTATCTAAGATGATCATTTTTTCAGTCAACCATTAAAGTAGTTCATAAAGAAGTCTTGTAGGACCACAAGTTTCATTTCATAAATGGAATCCCCTGATAAACTAATAACATTGAAAGAGTACTGTTGTCTTCCTAAGATATTTTTTGTTCTTTATAGAGGGCTTGCACAACAAGCCAGTATTCCCCAGGGGATGTTATTATTATGATTGCTTGCCATTGAGAAATTTACTGAAAGCAGTTGTGACATGTTAAGGCTAAGGAATGCCAGTAAATAAAGCTGAGTTGCATGTCTGATATAAAGTGTACTTAAGAGTTTGCGCCTTCTTGCCTGAAAAAAAGTCCTCAGGAGGTTATCTTTACTCAAAGTTTTTTTAAAAACAAAATTTTAGTTAGGGAACAACCCCTTTTCTCTTACTTCCAGATCTTAAAACTACACCAAAACTAGACCTAGAACTTGTTTCCATGTGAATTCTTCCTAAAGCTCCTAGTCACAGGCCTATACAGGGCCTTGACCAAATGACTGAACAAAATAGTTCTGAGGCCTTGTAGAATATCCAACCTAATTAGGGTGCCTCAAATGCATACACTGTTTATTTTGGATTTTTCAGTTGACTTCTCAGATATATCTGAAAGTGATTTAGGTTGTTTCAAAGTAGACTTACTCAGAAGAAGAGCCCTTTAGGCTTGGCATTCTGTTTAGAGGGAAAGATGGAGATTAGGGGTAACCTACTGAGCAGATCAGTTGGATATTGTCTATTCAGTATGCACAGTTGCATTCATGTCCTCCTTGATGGTGTTAAAAAATTGTTATTTTAATTTCTTTTGAATTTAATTCAAGATGGCAAACAAACATTTATTGGCATCTATCATATGGAAAACATTGTACTAGGTGCTGGGGAGGATAGAAATATGCAAACACATCTTTTAATATATTTGAGACTGTGATTGAGTGATGGAAGGCTAGAAGCCAAGTGCCATGGGAGTATGCAGCTGGAAAGAGATTTAGATTTTCATTATGGTTTCTTACAAAAGAAGTATAATTTCTTATGCCTTAAATTATAATCAGTGAATAGTTCTGGATTAATGAGAGGACATGTAGTAGAATTAAAATATTAAAAACAAAACATGTCAGTTCTGTTACTTATAGATGTGAGAGATACAGAAAAGATGAATGAACTTTTCATAATTATTTTTCTGTTGTTGTGTATTTAGAAAAAAGTGGAGCCATTTGCCAGTGTTCTTAGTTTTCCATACCCATTTACTTCAGAAATTAATAAAGTTGCTGTATTTACAGGGGTGAGTAACCTTTATCAACTTTTTCTATCATTTAATTTTTTTACATGTCACATTAACCAATGATTAGAATAACTGAATGCGTAGAGTTAGAGAAAATTCTGGCATTAACCTCGTCTTATTTTTCCCATTGGTAGCTCAAAGCAGTAAGATGACTCATTTGAGGTTATGTCATTAGTGTGAGAAAGAGCTAAACTAGAACATTAACTTCATCATTACTAATCTACCACATTGTTTCTCACAAGAAACTGAAGCATAGAATTTATCCTCGTAGCTCCTGCTTCCTGCTTAAACTCCTCTTCTCAGACAACAACAGTAAAATTATTTTAAAGCAAAGGGTCTACTTAATGGTGTGAAGACATAGAAAGCACAGTTTTAAAAATATTCAGTCTGGAAAGTTAAAGTCAAGGCTATAACAAATATAGTAACAATAGTATTTGTTTATAATGTGTTTATGAATTCGTTTTGTAAAGTATTTTGATTCTCCTCCATGTGCTTCATTTTCAAGGAAGAAATTTTTACTTTTTTTTCCAGAAAAGTAGAGAATATAGCTGTTGGAATGCCACAAAACTTGAATAACTATGAGTGATATATTTTCACAGTGAAACCAAATGGTATAAATGGAACATAGAGAAAGAAAATAACTAATACTATGTATATTTCTTCTGAGTTTTCAGACAACAGAATAAATTTTGGTTCTATTCTTTCTTAAATTAAAAATCTTTTTCCAGATTGGTTTGATAAAATGTCTCCATTTAAGTTAGCAAAACTAAATATATCTTAAACTTTTAGTTTTGGAAGATGTTGTATTGATGGCATTGAAAGTTAGGTTGAACCAATCAGTAAGTTCTGAATGCCATTTTGATGTTACAATGCCATTTCCTCATGTTACAATAAACACCTCAATCACCTACAAGCTAAACTTGTTCTGAATGCTGTATTTCTGATGCATTTAATTGAAAATTGATATTTTCATTCATTCATTCATTCATTCATTCATTCAGGCGAGGCAACCCTTATTTGACCTCACAGATTGCAAGAACCTTGTCAGCTTACAATCCCTTATTTTTTATTTTTTACTCCTACAGCACCTGATTTTCCTAGGTGGTCTCCCATCCAGGTACTAACTAGGCCAAACCCTGCTTAGCTTTCGAGATCAGATGAGATCGGGCTTGTTCAGGGTGGCATGGCCATAGACAGTGCATTTTCAGTTAAAAGTAAAAACCACACTTTTTATTTTGAACTGTAATATTATTTCTGCCTATTAAAATACTTGAAAGCAGACTGAATTTGTTTAAAGATTGATGTTCAAACTATTATATCTTGGTAGAATGCATCAGAAATTAAAATAGCGGAAGAAAATGGAGCTGCATTTGCAGGAGGAACTAATCTGATTCAGAAGGTACAAAGTTCTTTACATATTCATTAGTTATAGAAATTGTTCTGTTGTCTTTGCCATCCATTGATTTATTACATGTGGACCAAAACCAATATGCTCATATCTTTTGATAGTTGGTTAGTAGGGCTTTATAGAACATGGGAAAAATTTCTTACTCTTTTGCATATCAAAATGAAACTAAAAAAACTGTCTAAATGGTTTGATATTAATTATGCTCGACTTATAGTGTTTTTTCCTTCATTTCTATATTTTTATGAGAATTTTGTGGGTTGACTGGAAGGGGCAAAATGAGTCCTAATGGTCTTGAATGTGAGATTTAAAATAAAATCCAAAAAGTAGCACACATGTATATCTCTATTCATGTTTTAAAGATCAAATATTTGTTTTGCCTTTTTGGAGTAAAAATTGTGATTAATAGATCACAAAGGGTAGTATCTGACCTCTGTAATACAGTACTTTTGGTTATTCTTTTCATATCCCACCTTTTCACCTCCCGCCCTTCAGTTCAGTGTGGCATAGGTTCAGCATGGAGGCAACAAATTATTATGTAGCCTGCCTTGAAAAAATAACGAAGAATTTGTGGAGCTCATTTGAAAGAGGACATTTTTTTTTTTTTAATAGGTGGAAGAAGAGGCATGTCTGTTGAATTTTGGGAATTATTTCTAAAAATATGAAAGATTTTTCTTAATATTCTCTAAAATCTTTTTCAAGTTTAATCATTTAGACTGTGAAGTACTTTCTTTTTTTTTAAGAACAGGAAAAAGTGATTTGAAAACTTATCTTTTGTACCATATCAAGATTTTTATTTGGGAGAAGTTTTTTTTTTTTCTACCATAGTAGTACTCTAAATTTGTTATGGATTCTGGATTTTTAAGTAGTGTCTCCAGAATGATTTTTGCGAGCAGAACTAATGGGGAACATAAAGAGATTATGCTTTCATACCGATTCTAGGTCAGAATTAGAGAATGGTTTCCAATTCTTTCTGATGTATCATGAATCTTAATAAAATTATTTTAATTGTAAAAATAAACAATATTACAAATTCTTTGGAATTTGAGAGTACAGCTTGGTGTCGGCGCCGAGCTGATTGAGAAGAGAAGGTTTCGATGGTGAGACGCCCAGTTGGAAGAATACATAAGAGGCCAACGTGAGAATGAAACAGCGGGCACCAACTTTATTGTGGGGACCACAGTTCTATTGCGGGGAGCGTCATATCGTATGCACTTCTTGTGCTCCCCTTCTGCTCCCCAGGAGACTGCATGGCTCTACGCATATCAGAGCTCAATAGTGGCTTTCAGCCACACATGCGTGATAGCATAAGTTGAACTGTGTTTACATATTTTAAGCGCAAGTGCCCTGCTACACTAATGTAACATTTTAAATCCGGGATCCTATTCCTAGCCATAAGCCTGGATCACAGTCAGACCTGGGACCTACACTCCATCCCTACAGAGTTACAACACAGGATCTGGCCTGGAGGGCGCTAACTTGAGCCCACAATCTACTTGACATTCCTGAAGTGGCTTAGCCCCACAAGGCATCATCCCCCAGGGTTCTCTTTATCCTCCATCTCTCTGGGTGCTGCTCAGCACACCAGGGGCATTGTGACACGGCAACTTGTGCTTGTGCCCATGTCAACAATAGCCCCCATTTCACGGTACAAGCCATCTGTGTACCAGGCATCCTCAGGGATGGGAGTCCAATTTTTTACATAGGGACTCGGTATGTCTCCCATCTCAGCAACCTCCACCAAGAGCTCTGCTTGGAACTGCACGGTCCCAATAGGGGGTACAGTTAACCTGACTGGGGGCTTGCAGAGAACTGTGCCCGCTGCCCCAGGTACATCCCTCCACTTGGACAGTGTGGGGTCTGTGCAATTCCCATACAGGGAGTCTTCCCTAAGTTAACCACAGCCACCCTTCCACAGGGTACGTGGATTGCATGATTATGAGATTAGGGATATTGATGGCCTCATTGGCCAGAGGGCTGCATACATGGCAGCCAGTTGTTTCTCTATCAGAGAATGCCGTGCTTCCGTGCTTTTCCACATTTGGGACCAGAAGCCTATCAGTACCTTCTGGGAAGTGTGCTTCTGCCACAAGCCCCATCCAAACCCTATATCATCCACCTGCACCGTAAGCAGAATGTGAGGGCTGGATCTGTTACGCGTAGAGTTTGGGCTTGTGCTACAGCTTGCTTTGTAGCCTTAAAGGCCTCCTCATCTCGGGGGTCCAATCCCATTGGGCACCCCATCACACTAGACAGTGCAGGGATTGCATCAAGAAGGCCAAATGGAGGATGAACACTCTCTAAAACCTCAGCAGTCCCAAATAGGTTTAGAGCTACTTCACGGTCTCAGGTTGGGGATATGCCTTTATCTTATCAATCACTGCCTCTGGCATTACTTTTGTCTTACCCAACCAGACAACTCCCAAGAATTTGACAGAGAACCCAGGTCCCTGAACCTTGTCCTTGTTGACTGCCCCACCCCAGTTGATGAGAACTTCTCGCAGGCTGGTCGCAGCTTCTTCTAGTTCTGTAAGAGAATCAGGGATTACCATTATATCATCAATGTAATGATACAAGTGCACTACGGGCGGTTGTTTCCATGTGACTAAATCTTGAGCCACGAGACCATGGTACAAGGTAGGGCTAGAGAAAAAGGCATTTGCCAAGTCTACCACATAATGGTATCGTCCAAGTTCTTGTGACAGCCGGTCCATGATGTACGTGATGTTTGGCACGGCAACATACAGGGGCAGCATAACCTTATTTAGCTCCCACAACCTCGGGTCAACCGGCTCCCCCGCCAACCGGGTGCCCTGGCCGAATCCCTAATCAGGGAGATAATCGGCCAGCCGTACCTCATGGGTTTGGCTTTCCTGGGAATAGGAGTGAATTGTTAGTCAGGGCACAGTTGATTCCACAGCGCCAGCAGCACTTCATTAGGTTGCAGCTCAATCTTTTCTGCAGCGACCCCTGCTGCGAGGAGATCAAACTGCATTTGCCTGCAGCTCACTCTCATAGCCTAACAGCTTGGGCGCTGCTCTGCGCCCGCTTTTTGGCCACACCTCCGTCCATGCACTGGCTGATCTGGAAGTGCTGCGGGCAGTAGGGCGTGCACTTGGGTGGAATGCTCCTTGTGTTTCACTTCCACATCCCCCAACCTAGCCATAGTGGAAGTCACCTTGTGGATCCGCCTATCCACCTAAGGGGCCAGCAGAGCCGCCATGGGGCCAAAAGTCAAAATCAAGTCCTTCATACAGGTTGTAAATACCTCTTCATCAGGGCTTGTTTACTGGGCACAGAACATCATCCGTTGCATGCCCATTTCTTGAATTATCTGGACCAGATCTAAGTACGTGGTCCATCTGCTCACTGTCTCTGGCAGCTCCCCCGGGTCGGCCCACAGTCTGGGCAGAGGACATGAGCCAGTTAAACAGCACCTCATGCCTTACACGCCACATTCTGGAGGCCTGCCTGAGGGACGGTATCACTGTTACAGAGGCCAGCTGAGCCATCTCTTCCAGAGATAATTCAGTCCTTTTGGCCCCGTCATCCTACAGCCACAGCAGCCACCCCAGAACCATCTCTCTGGTTCTCTGCCATACCTGTTTTGTAAGGCCCCGGAGTTTGGTGGGGATGTACTAGATCAAGTGGTTTGCTTTTTAACCTGGGGGGGCGCCATCAGTTGGCCATCTCCGCCCTTCCTGCCGGGGGCCAATGGCTGTTCCACTTCAGCCTGCTGCCATATCATCAGCTGCACCTGCTGTAGTACCGCCGGTAGGCTCCCAGACCCAGATGATGGCAGTGACCCGTCAGGACCCTGCAGCATATGTTCTGCTGCCGTCAGCTGCTTTTCCAGAGCTTTGTTGTGGCGTTGTAGCTACTGTACCCTCTGAGCCTGATCCTGAACCTCCAGGCTCGCCTGCCACAGCACCACCAGGAATATCCAGGCCACCTGACCCACTTCCTCCCGGTACTGTCGGGACATTTGGCTCCAGCATCTCCAGGGCTTTCCGGACATCCTCTGGACAAGGTTTCACTTCATCCCAATCTTCCGGGGGTGTCCATGTAGCCAGATATGCGGCCACGGAATACCACTGGGAGGCGGGGGGCCACACGTCCTCCACTCGGGTCTCCTTCACCTGGGGGCCATCTGGAGTGCTGGGAGCTATACTCACCTTGTCATCCCGCCAACTACGCCAAGTGTCAGCAGACAGCTGATTGAGAAAGGAAGGTTTTGATGGTGAGACACTCAATTGGAGGAATGCACAAGAGGCCGACGTGAGAATGAAACGGCAGGCACCAACTTTATTGTGGGGAGTGCAGTTCCGTTGCGGGGAGTGCAGTTCTGTTGTGGGGAGCGTGATATTGCATGCATTTCTCCCCTTCTTGTGCTCCCCTTCTACTCCCCAAGGGACCACATGGCTCCACACATATCAGAGTACAATAATGGCATTCAGCCACACATGCGTGATACCATAAGCTGAATTCTGTTTACATATTTTAGGCTCAGGCACCCTACTACACTAATGTAACATTCTAAATCTGGGGTCCTATTCCTAGTCACAAACCTGAATCACAGCCAGACCTGGGACCAGCCAGGCTTGGGACCTACACTTGGTCTCTGCAATCAGAGAACTATTCTTATTGAACTTGTGTACTGCATTCCATCTGTTTTCTTCCTGTAGGTGTGAGAGTATGTTGTAGAACTGTCATAGCAACGATGGAGTTTAAATAGATACCTCCACTCTTTAAATGTTGAGGAGTTACTTCTCAAGAAAGTAATGATAAAGAAGCAGAAAGTGTTCTGCAGTACTAAGTTCATTAAATAAAACAAATTTTAAAAGTTACCCAAATAAGGAAACCAAGTACATTTTGAAATTGTTTGGTAAATAAAATACTACAGATACAAAATTACTCTTTAGGTGCCCAGGAATGATCTATTAATAGAAGAGAAAATGCCACCTATATAAAGCATCATAACCAGTATATTATTGCAAGTTACTCCCAGGTATCTTTTAATACTCATCCATGTTATTTTTAGAAGGTATTCAGATTGTGAGGTAAATTCAATACAGTTTTATAAATAGTACCTTGGCTGCAATTTTTTTTACACATTCTTGTATTTTTTAATTAAATACTGTTTTACTTAGTGCTTATAATAGGTGGAGATAGGATAAATTTACTGAACTTTTAGTCATTTCTTAGATAAGATATTTATTTACTAAATTCATTTTCCTTTATTTTGAACCGTCACAAGTATGCTTGCTTCTAAGGGATTTTAAAATAATTTTGCTTTTACAAAATTATTATAAAAACTGGATAAACCTAAACCATGTAAAATATTTAGCTAAATCCTTGGCATGCGGTAAGTGCTCATTTAATGCAAGTTGTTATTGTTAAGTGAAACATTTTGTTATCTAAGGAGTAAAGAATTTGTAAGAAAGAATAGTAACAGGAAGATAAAATTTCAGAATCACAGCCTAATTTGGCCAGAGTTAAAGTTTTTAGGTTTCCCAAACCAAGGGTTTGAATAATATATTGTGGTAAGCAAAAAGAATCATTGTAAAATATGTTTTGCCCAGGCAATATTGTTCTACAAAGCTCTTTCATTTTATAACCAACTAAATTTTTAAATGGAGTGTATTGTAGTAGTATAATTATTTTGGGTGCTTGCCTGAATTAATTTAAAATGTCTTTAAAAATTGGTATTCTCTTTGTTCTTAGAATGGAATTAGAGTCTGTAAAATAAACTATAAGTGAACTTTTACAGTTCATTATTTTGAGAATTTTAGTTTCAGTTCTTTGTGAAAATAATTATAGATTCAGTTCTTTCAATGTTCTAAATTTAGGAAGGCGTTGTATTTGCTACTAATTTGGCAGCTAGTGGTTATTAATTTTACATATCTCTTGCAAAATTTTCAGCATGTTTATTTTTAATGGACATATGAATACAGCTTTGTGGGATTATGAGCCGCATACACATCAATTTTATGTTCTAGCTTATAATACTTTTGCCTAACATAACCCCATGGAAAAAGTAAAACTATTAAATATATATTTTTAAGTGTCTGTGGCTATTTTTAGAAAGAAAAAGATCAGAAAATGTTTTGCTGCCAGAGGTTTTCATAATTGGTAAATGTATTCATACGATCTTTGTATTTGAATTAAAGATTTATGCCTAATGTCTGTTTTCTAAATTATAAGGGAAATTATTGTATTATACTGTATTTTCAGAAGGATAAAGCTTTTTGTATCTTTTCTCTGATTATCAGATTTTGGAGGATGAAATTCAATCAGATTATTATGTAGCTGTTCCAGAAATAATGCCTGAGCTTAATCCATTAAAGAAGAAGCTGAAAAAAAGATTTCCAAAGTTTACTCGAAGTAAGGGAGTATTCTTTTCTTTAATTTGTTGTTTTTTAAATTACAGTTTGTATTGAGTATTTTGTTAGTTTCAAGTATACAGCATAATGGCTAGACTTTTTTATAATTTATGAAATGATCCCTCTGATAAGTCTAGTGCCCACTTGGCACCATACATAGTTATTACAGTATTATTGACTTTATTCCCTATGCTGTATTTTACTTCCTCATGACCATTTTGTAAGTGCTAGTTTGTCTTAAAGGGGAGAATTCTTTCTATTATTTCAATATGCTATCAAAAACTTTGTAATATATATGTTTAGTTAGAAAACAAAATTGTTAATATACATGTAGAAAAAATAATATGTCCTGCTATTTGAGTTTTGTGTTATATAAGAACATGTATATTTGATTTTTTTTTTCCTTTGAAACTGATATTGGTAATCTAATATAATTTGAAAACCTAGTTACTATATAATACTTTATATTTAGGCTGTATTTTAGCTTGAAATTAATGGAATGTATTACCTACTAGGTATGTTGCCGTCATACTGTTTTATATGTCTTTATCAATAATGTTTATGCTCGTTTATGTCAGCATTCAACATATATATGAAGCCATCATAGTTTCTTTTAGGTGGTTCTGGATATTTGCGATAGATAGGTGTTATTGCAAATAAAATTTTATAGTATAAACAGAATAGATATATTTAAATTGTATTAGTAGATTGGGCTTCACATTTCAACTCTAGCTGAGCTGAAAAATCCTGCTAAAATTCTTCATACATGTTAGCTAGTAACACTTATCTGAATCATAGATCATGTTCTGTAGTTGAAGCAATTTCATATGTACTCTCCAATTCTTTTGTTGTACCAGAGTTTTATTTGTTTATTTTTGGTGGCCTGCATTGAATAACACATCGTTATTAGATCTCAGACTGTTTGGCACTTTTTACTAGGGATTTCCATTACAATATAGTATTTGTTATCATGGAATCAGACTTAATAGTCTTTTCTAAGTAAGACTTGAAATTGAAATTTATTTTAAAAATTAAACACAAATTACAGTTTAATTTGATGAAAATATTTCTCATAATTTTTTTCTAATTAAAATCAAGATTAACAAAACCAAACAATACTAAAAATAGTCAATTAAAATGAAACCGGATACTGAATATATTCTGTATTTAGCTACCTCCTTGCTTTGCATGCTGAACTGGTTTCTCACAGAAGTTAATTTTGTCACCTTTGCTTCTTTATCCATTCTCTGAGTAACCCTTTTGGCCTCCATTTTCCGTAGCCTTGAGGGTTTTTTTTGTTTTTTTTGTTTGTTTGTTTTACCATTTTCATCTCAAAATTTGGCACTGTTGTTTTTAGTCTGAAAGGTTTTCAAATAACTTCTTTGTTTCAAATAAGAAAAATTTCCCTTTAAAATGTTTATTTGTATTAATGGCTTTACCCTAGTTCTACTTTTGTAATGAATCATACCTTCCAAACACCAGGGTCAAGTTACCTAGGTATGTCCCCGCCATTTGCTTAACAAAGCATCTTGAAAAAACAGGCAGACCTTTCTCCTCTACCTTTTTCTTTTCACCCCTACATGATTTGTTTAACAGTACTAGCAAAACATTTGTGTTCTTTAAACATGAAGACAAATGATTAACCTGTCAAAAATGTTAAAACAGGATACACCAGATGTGCATTAGAACAAATGAAGCTTGTATTATGCATTTTCAGAGCTTATTCAGGTTCTTGTTTAGGAACATTTGATTCTCCTTATATCCAACAAAAGACTTTAGGGTAAAATAGAAATTACATTTTGAGCAAATGGATGAAATTTAAAAACCAACAAACAAGCCCCTGCAGCTGAGCTCATTAGTTTCCCATTTTGTCTTACATTTTGTTTTACTAATGGGAGTGGGTGTAACCATCCTGGCTGGATTGAATGTTCACGTTTTTGCAGCATGTTTAATGCTGCAGCTTCATTTGTTTGATTTTTTTTAGTTTAATTGCTTATGTAACTGTAGGCAAGTTCTCTATTTTTCAAATGCATATTTGGCTTGTTTTCTTAGTATTTTTTATTTCAAGAAAAAAAGACATTTAAAACTTGCTTTTTAAAATTCTTAGAAGAAATTTGATTTCATTTTGCTTGTAAACTAGCTTTCCCCCCCAAAATACGTGTCCTCTGAAATTCTTTCATCTCTAATGTAGATAGATTTTGTTGATATTTTATTTATTCTTAATCTTATATATTATGCATTTACTTAAAAATTACTACTGTGAAAAATATCTCGACTTAATGGAATCAGGTTCCTATTAGCATAGATGGAAACAGTTGAAGTCTTTTAAACCATGCTAAATTATTGGCAGATGGGACAGAGACATGTTTAGGAAATTGGACCCACTAATGTGTATTTATTTTCTTAATATACATCTCTTAGAATTGAGCATCAGTGCTCCAGTTGGAGTCTTGTTAAAAGAATACTCTGGCAGACCTGTCCAAAGAGCATTCATATCCGCTGAGTAGGACACTGCTTTTTGTGAGGAACTTGGTGTTGTATTATATTTGAGAGTAGTGAATGTAAATTTATTGAACTCTAATAGGAAATATTTTTAACTCATAGACTGATATGCCGTACTTCAGCACATTGCTTGCATTATTGAAATCGTTAGAACTCTGGTTATATAAAGAAAAATGCTGAAATGGAATTTTTGCAAGGTAATCAATTTGAAATTGTTCTTAATTTTTACTCCTTGTGTATTAGTTTAAAAACTATTTTTGTGTGAAAGATTCTAATGATAATTAGGTGTGGATATAATTGTTATAGATAAATTATTGATATATTGCAGCTGGTTCCATTACTCTTTCCTTCATTTCCTTTACTCCAGCCATAGTGGCCTCCTTGCCCTTCTTCATACACACTAAGTATTTTCCCTTCTCAGGTCTTTGGACTCATTGTCCTATTTGTTTGTAATGCTCTTTTCTTATTTTTCTGGCTACTTTTTCATTCAAATATCACCTAAACAGAAAGGCCTTCCATGACCATCCTATATAGAATATTACCTGCCACTTCCAATTATCACATTATCTCATTATTGTGTTTTTATATTCTTTTTAGGGCTTACCACTTTTGGGATCTCACATTTTTTATTTGTGGGTGTGTGTTCAGTCCTTCTTTTAGAGTAAGGACATTTTTTTTGGGTTTTGTCCACTGCTGTATTCTCCTGTGCCTAGAATAGAACCTGCACATAGTAGGTGCTTAACAAATATTTGTACAGTGAATGCACATTTAGTGTAGCATTCAGTTGGTAGAAGATAGAAATTGCTGCAACTAAAGACTATCTACAATTTATAGATTTTTTTGGATTAGAATAATTATATGTATTGAGTATTTGTTTTGTACCAAGCCTGAATTGTGATGGCTGTGAACAAGGCAGGCAAGGTCTTTGCTGTCTCGGAGCTAACAGTTTCATTTTCTGCAGTAGACAAACTGGTTCAACTGAGCATTTAACCATGCTCAGATTTCTCTAGTTGAACAAATAAACTGGAAACAAAACACATACCCCCAAAATGTCCATTCGATTCAGCTAACCTTTTTAGCTACAATCTTAGTCTTTTTTGTTGTTTCATACCAAATTTTTCAAACAAGTGGTCTTTAGTGGTTGGCTGTCTCCATTTCCTTACCAAGTGTTATTCTTCCTTACATCATTCTCTCCCATATTCAGCTAAAATGTTGCTTCTTAGTAATAATCACTGACCTTTCATTTGCTGCATTTAAAGATTTGTCCTTAGTTTTCTTTGTTTCTTGAAACTTTATTTTACACTGTATAATCTTAACTTACCTCTGTTCTCACTATTCCTTCTTTGTCTTACCTGGCTTCTATTCTACTTCTACCCTGTACTATTCGCTAGCAAAGAAGAAAAGAGAAGATACAGCAGAGTGAAATACCCAACAGTATAGTTTAGTACAGGTTATGTTCATTATGGTAATTGAATAGAGGGACTTAGAGGAAAAGAAAGGGAACAGAAAGAAGAAAAAGAAAAGTTTAACAAAATAGCACAGAGCAAAGAGGAGAGTAATTACATAGCAATAGGGATAGCAAAGCCCTAGAAATAGCAGTGAATATTAATATTGGGTTATAGGGAAAAACAGAATAGAATAGCGGGTAACATAGATACCTCTCTCAGTCTTGGCTTTGTCACACTGTGGCCTTGAACAAATTTTTTAACATTTTTGTGTCTCTGTTTATTCATCTACAAAATGGGTTTCATGCTTCCAATAGTGTTTTTGTAATAACGTATGCAAGAGCTTAGCATAGACTGGGTACATAACAAGTTTATAATATATATGAGCCTCTATTATTATTGATTTCCTATAATTCTTAAAGTAACTATTCATGCTCTGTAATTACTTTAGGAGATCTCATTTTTTTTTTATGTCTTCATATTTCATTTTTACCTTCATAACTCATTTATTAAATAAACAGATAATTATTGCATGCCTGCTATGCCTACACTTAATACTGAGGATTAAAAGATGAAAAAATAGTTCCCATCTTTAAGGAGATAAAAATTGAGAGGTGAGAGAAATGAGAACAAACTGCTATACTAAAATGCAGAAGGTGTACCAGTGGAAGAGGTACAAAGTACTTAGAGGAATGAGGAACTATTTTGTAGAATTAGATTATATGAAGAAAGTAGCAGTTGAGCATTTAAATATGAATAGGCTTTTTTTTTTTCCCCCTGACATGCATGGGGAGAACATTCCAGGTAGAGGAAATGGCCTGTGCTAATGCACAAAAGTATGAGAGAGCTAGTTACGTTCAGGAATTTATAAGTAGCTTTCTATCGTTTGGTACATAGTGTTATCAGATAGTGGTGGGCAGTGGGGTTAGACAGTGATAGGCAGTGGGCCAGATCATGGAGGGCTTTGTGTGCCATGCCATGGAGGTTAGGTGTTATCCTCTATGCAGATAAGGAGGGATTGAAAAATATTGCTAAGAAGAGTGATATAAGATTT